GCCCCGCCCCCCCCCCCCGCGTCCCTCCGGGCGGGCGCCCCCTGCCCCCCCCCCCCCCCGCCGCTCGCCCGCCTGCAGCTGGGCCCGCGCCTCCCGCAGCTGAGCCCGCAGGCCCAGCAGCTCGGCACCCCGCTGCGCCAGCTCCGCCTGCGCTTCCTTCAGCTGCTGCTTCAGCAGCGAGATCTCCCCCGACTTCTGGCACACCTGTGGGGACGACGGGGCTCAGGCACTGGCTGGGACCCCCCCCCAGCTGGAGCCTGAACCCCCCAACTCGCCCAGCGCCGTCGGGCGACTCACCTCCCACTTGGTCTCCTCCAGCCGGGGTGCCAGCTCTGTGCGCTCGCGCTGGAAGGAGGCACAGCGACGTTCCAGCAGCTCCCGCTCCTGCAGCAGCTGGGCGAAGTCCTCCTGCAGCTGCTTCTTCTCCTGCTGCAACTGCAGCACCTGGAGCTGCAGGACCTGCTGCCCTCGCTGCGCCGCCTGGGCCGCCTGCCGTGCCTGGGCCGCACAGCGCTGCCGCAGCCCCTCCAGCTCCTGCTCGCAGCGCCGCTGCTTCTCCTCGTACACCTGCGGCAGGGAGGACGGGCACGCTGGAGGGGGCGGCACAGAAACCCCCCCACTACTGCTGCCCGCCCAAGGACGGGCACCCGCTGCCCATGGGGAGGGGGGCTTCATGTCCCCCCCTCAAGCAGAGGTGGGGGTCCAGAAGGGGTGCGATGTAGTGGTGCCCCCCCTCCTTGTGCTTCCCATCCCTCAGCATGCTGGTCCCCCATGTCAGCACCTCCAGAGTCTATAGGGCTCCCCCAGCCCCACCACTAGCGGGGAGAAGCTCCAGGTGCAGCCAAGAGAGGGCACCCCAAGACAAGGCACCCCAGTCTGTACAACTGGCCCCCCAGAGAAAATGAGGGTCCCCCAGGGACTATATAGGACCACCCACGAGTGGGGAAAATCCCTATTCCCAGACCCACAGAAAAAAGTATCCCCATACAAGGGTCCCCAAAGGGGCTCCCCCACCCCCCAACCGGGGGGGACATCCACACAAGGTGCCCCGGGGAGGGGGACAGGGACAGGACAGGGGGACGCCAGGGGCATACCTGGCAGATGGCCACCTCGTTCTCGTCCAGGCTGTCGCGCAGGAGCCGCAGCTCAGCCTCCCTCTCCCGCCGCTTGTCCTCCCGCTCC